TAATATTTGAAGACGTTTTTCACTTGAACTAGACTAAAAGCTGGCATCTGGAGACTGGTGAACGATTGGAATATATTTTGAAACGCTCCATAAGTATTTTACTGGAATTATCATCAACCGATCGCAGGGCTGTCGCGACCAGACACGGGTCGCACTCCCCATATTATCCTGGCTATTTCCATTTTTAGATCCGTAGTTACCTGATCTAGGTACTATGTTAAAGTGTCTCACAGAACGAACAGCTATCAGTCGAATTTTCTTTATCAAATCGTACTGAGGAAATAGCCTGCGCCAGATATATAATAGCGGTAAACGTACACGTATGTGCACAGTTGTCACACATCGTCTTTTAAGTTAATCACGTATATCAGTCATCATAACATAGTTATGGCACTAAATTGAATTTGTAGGGGTATTTCATGTTCCTTTTTTCTTGTTTGTTTAAACTCTACACCCATAACCAGTTGAACAGTAAAGCAAATCTCATTATGTTCTCCTATGTGTCAAGAGCTGAGGCAACAAGGTTAAGTTACCAAGGTTATTACGTTACTGACGTCGCTAGGATTCGAACATCGTACCTTTAAAGCACACTCTCACGCAATTCTCACTTTTCTACAACGTATACTCAATACAAGATATCCATTTTCGAATTTTGACTGTAAGTTAGCACAAAAGTGACAAATTTTCGATCACTTCCAGTAGTTGATGACAGACATTAATGTAACTTGGCCAGATATCGAATATTTTATTCAAATCACCAGTACGTAAACAAAACGAAGAAAAAAAATAAACAATTTTTTTTACACATAATTAATTTAAAAATACCATTGTCGAAAAAAACGTCTTAATAGTTTATCTCTACGGTTTTTTACTCCAATTCCAAAAAGAAAAGATAAAAAGGAAACAATAAATCTTGCATCCCAAAGTCGGAACATCTGATATACATAAGTACCGTCAACAGTAAAAGGAATGTAAGTGCAAGTATAAATTATAGATGGTAGAACAGAGTAGGAAATAACATATAATAAGACAGTATCGTCTTCTGTATGCCTCTTGGGATTTCCTATTGAATATAATCACGATTATAAGCTCTATCACGTATCATATTAAAACACATTCCGAAGTATTCGATTGTACATGCAATGTCCTTTTTGGGGTTAATAGCGAGCTGAAGCACTGCGTCTAAATGCGACCAATGTAAAATCTCAGATATAGAAATAATGTTCATATCTAGCTGAGAGCGTGCGAAGCAGACCAGACAGATATATTAGATTAAAATAAAAAAGGAAGAACATTTTTTTATACAAGTTAACAATAAATAAAAATATTAATAAAGATAAAAATTCACGGTTGTTTCGGCAAACTTGGTGGTTGATAATTTGTATCATGTGTTTCAGGTTTATATGTAAACAGTACCAAAAGTACCCATGCATGCAATAAAATCGCGTAAAATAGGACGCCCAATCTCACAATTGGATATCGTCTTAGAAATACTCCCAATCGAATACCCAATTTATCCAATTCACTAACAGCTCTCTTCACTTTTTTAGCCAAATCAACATCGTACGGTGTTTCTCGTAATATAGGCATGCGATACCGAATATTTTCGACGTTTGAATGTTCATCGTCTTCACGTTGATCACCACCCATTTGAATTGTGGTCGTATTCCGCTTTTGAGCCGAAGCCGTTGATATTTGATCATAATCATTTAATCGAGCTTCTAATCTTTCCAATTGTAAATTCAACGACTGTTTATCAGTTTGAAGAGTTTCTGGAATAAAATAAGCAATTAATATAGCGTCATTTTGCAGCATTTCTCTTTTTTACAAAATTTTATGTATCCTACCTATGACCGTTTGTTTTTGTATTAGATTTTCAGTGAGTGTTTGTAATCGCTTCTCTAATTCATAATCGTTTAAGTGATTAATTGTTTTTGACGTTAATTGTAGTCGTAATTTTTCCAACTCTCGTTCTCGTTCAGTCAACTGGGTATACATTTGCTGTTTTTGTTTATGTAAATCATCTTGCAGTAAATGATAATCTGTTTTCAACTTTTTACAATCTTGTTCTAAGAGAGAATAACGATCTCTTTCATCTTGTAATTGATCTTGAAGGTGTTTGAGATCGGCATGTGTTTGTTCATCGAAATGTTGTTGTTGAAGTTCATATTCACTCAAATCATGCTTCAAATTGTAAATAAGTAATTCACGTTGTTTTAACTCTGATTTATAAAGTTCATTTTCAACTTTAAGTTCATCATAATTGATTTGAGACCAGTTTATCTGTGAAGAGCTACTAGTTGGAGATAAATTACCATTATCAGCTAAATCAAGACCAGTTTCATCGGACGATTGTTGTTGATCAGACAATAGTATGGATTCTGAAAATCGATAAGTAAATAAATTGTCAGGTGTACTACTCTTTGACACGAACATGTTTATAAGCGGGTTTATCCTTAATCTGACTTCTTATTTTGTTAGAAGACCCCACTATCGTACCTAACAGGAGAAAAAGAGGAGAAGAACTAAACAGATAATTCATTTTTAGATCGATGAACGAAAAGAAAGCATTCAACACATTTAATTTTGCTGATAGCTTACCGTCATGTATACTCGCGCGTTGTTGTGGTTTTTGTTGAGTAAACTCTTTGAGTTTTGCGATTAATTTATCTTTTGTTTGTAAAATTCGTTGTGCTTTTTGTTTATAATCTTGCATATCTTGCTCTAATTGTTGAATCAAAAGTTTTAACTGTTTATTTTGATGTTGGGTATCTTGTAAATGCATTTTTTCACTTGTCATTTTCTTTTCATTTAGTTTTAACAAATCAAGAAGTTGTTGTTTTTCATCCTGAGCTTGTTTTTGTGCGAGATGATAATCATTTTGTAATTTATCCACATCAAGTTGACGTGCAGATAGTTCAGACTCAAGTTGAGAAATTTTCAGCTGTAGAGAGTCAAATGCCTGAGATTGGATGCCTAAAATAGATGACATAGTAAAAATAACAGAACACCTATAGCAGAACAGCAAAAGGAATCTTTTATGCCCTACTTGCCTGATGAATCTGTATGATCCTTTAGAATTCTTTGGCATTCTACTTGTAACTGCTCAATTAATTGCTGTTTTTGTTTACATAAATCATCGGATTCTTGTAAACGTATTCTTAACAAAGCAATTTGTGAATCTTTTGCTATGATTGTTTCTAAATAGTCTGATTCTTTCGATCTTAGATCCCGCAGTAAAGCGTCGCATTCAGAGATTTGCTGTTGATATTGCAGATGTAGACGCTTTGAATTTTGAAGTTCAACTTCATATGATTGATTATGGCTAGTTAATGAGAGAATTTCATCATTTAATGAGTGGAGTATCTCATCTTTAAGATGATCGTTCGCTGAGGTAGGTGATGGAATAGAAACATCTTGTTGTTGAAGAGGAGGCGACTGCAATGGAACATCGAGTGCTGTAGTTAAATTGTCATTTGGCATTTCATCTGAAGTTGAAAATCTCACTGGGTGTTGTTGTTGAGGTGATGAAGGACGGTTATTTACACTTGTTGATTCCAAAGCGGGAAATGATGATCTATTCTAAAGAAAAATATACAGAATTTCACAAAACCGAGTATTTTTACTATATCGTCTTATTTAAATCTTAGAATTTTGAAAATTAAACAATAATACTCTTTGCATGCTCATAAGAAAAAAGATAGTGTCTGGTTTTAGTTATCAACCTCATCTATATGATGTTTGCTTTTATTAGATTATTTACATCTTCGATGTTATTCTCTAACGTCGTAACTATTGCTGGTGTGAGCGGTCTTGACGTTGAACTAACAGACTTGGACATTGCCAGAATATCCTCTGGTTTCTCTTGTTGTTTTAATACTACATTGGGAAATGAGTTTGTTTGTTTTGTATGGTATTCTTTAGATTGTTTCGTGTTATTAATTTTATTAACAGGTTCAGAACTATTCAAAAATTGCATTAAATCCACTTCTGTACCGTCATCATTTGTTATGGACGTTTTTCTCGCGGGACGACGACCTTGTTCTTTTGAAGACTGACGCGAGATAGATACAGAAGGCGAAGCCATTTTTAAAGAAGCTGAGGAAGAAGTGAACTTTTGTTGTTGTGATGACGTGGAAATGTTTCCGGATGATTTGTTTTCCGAAGGAGAGGAGGATGTCTCTTGTTGCTGCTGTAAATGAAATGTAACATTAGCTTGTTGGTCAACTTTATTTAACATAACTTCGGCTTGTTTCAATAGCCAAGCCATTTTTAATCTAATTTTTAAGTACGGAATGGAAGAAAAAGTGTAACGTTTTTTTATTTAGTGATAGGTGCAGACAAGAGACTTTTTTATGTTTCCTTCAATTGTTCAATGTGACAGATTAAGAATAAATCATGGACTATTACGATTAGTCTTTTTCCATCATTAGTAATATTTATTCATAGGTAGTGCTTTGAGCAGAGCAGATTAATACTGAATATGCACTTGTAATAAACTTTCAAGCTTCTTTTGATTATGTTATCGAAAATTTTTCTCGTTCGATGCGCAAAGGGACAATTATACGCGTGATGCCGCTGGTGTCTGGTTGCAATTAGTCAATGACAATAATGAAATAATTATGGAATTTAATTATGCAGTGATTGTTGAGTGACATTATTAAAGTAAAAATCAAACACTTATCACTTGGAGCTTGCTATTAGGAAAATCCCCTATTTTACTTGATTGCATTTTGACTGTACTAGAAAATCAGGAATTTTATAGAAAATAGCTTTAAGAAAAAAGTAAATAAATAAAAAGAATTTTGTTCATGTTTTATGTATGAAATCTACTCGTCTGATCACGTTCTAAAAGTTTCACACAGTTGGAGTTTGAGCAAGATATGAATTTTCTATTTTAAGCACTTATACTTAAAATTAAGCTATTTTTCTCTGAAATCATGTTATTTTTGGTGTGAGTTCTCTATTGGAACAATAGAAATCAAAAATTGTCATTATAAGCAAAAATAACCAGCACATCTAAACTTTATGACAAATAGTGAAAAATGTTATCTTCGTCTTTTTAGCTTAATGTTCGGCTGAACTGTGAAGCGTAAGTTTTTCATATGACACTCTATAGAGTGTCATATGAAAAAGCTTACGCTTGTTACTGTTCTATAGAAGAGTACTTCTTCACTTTCTTCATTATATTATCTAGAATAAAATTTAATAAATCAATAAGCGTTTGTTAGTATTCTACACAGTTTTGGCAGCTAAATAACACAAGATAAAATGTGCAAAGTAAACGTCATGATTTTTCTAAAAAGCTCATTTTATTTCTCAACTTAACACATGTTTTATTATTTTCTCCTCCCAGCAACGCGTCCGCCTATTAAACGCAATTTTTTTCAAAAATATAGTCTCAGTCAGATAGATGATGACGATTATTTTCATATACATAAAAGTAAGTATATACATGCACGCAATTGTTATTAAATTGAATAATAAATATTATAGTTATGGTAACAATGCTACTGATATACTAGTGTTTCACTATTATAATGAGGTAAAGCTTTTGTTTTAGACTAAAACAAAGCATGTAGAATCAGTCATGTGCAAGCACGGGTAAGTCCGAGTTCGGACTGGAAGATTTTTGGCGGATTCGGACTTGAGTTTTTGTATTTCGAGTCCGATCTGTTCAAGTTTTAACACAAATGACCAGAGAAAAATGCAAAGCAAAATAACAACACCTATGCACATGAAATTGAAAATTTTGTTCGCGAGACGGACATAGAACGTAACCTTATTTTCGAAAAATCAAATATCCATCCAGCGCTCAGCAAATTAAAATATAAATCACCCTTATCAAAAACACTAAAAGATTACCGGACTCGAAATGGACTCGGACTCGGCTCGGAAAAATTTCGAGCACAGAGCACAATACATGTAAAAACAAATTTTCGCAATCTAACAATCCTCTAGAAAGTGAACAAACTGAACTAAAATGAAAAAATCGCATGGTGCGTACGGTGTCCGCGTCATTTCCAGTCACTGAAACCCTCTCCCAGACTTGATGCGCAATCGCATCACATCCACAAAGATCAAAACAGTGACACCGCCTGTGCTCGTTCTATCTTGGTACAACTATCGCACTCCGAGCGATTCATATACAATAGGTATACAGCGTTTTAAGAACAACCAGAGGCGGCGAAACCCGTAGGAACAGTGAGGACGACGCTCACACAGTTTTTGAAATATAAAAAGTATGGGGACAGAATGCTGAGCAGCCTCCATAATTTCAAGGACCTTTTCTGTGAATTTGTCATATAGTCGCTAAATCTTTTGTATCTCTGGATCCTTTAAGCGTATGTTTGATGAACTAAAAAGAACGAGAGTTTCAACTTGATTCATCACTAACCACTGACACTCTCTTTTGATGCCGATATGTAGAGTAGATGAAATAAAAGTAGAAAATTCTATGTGTAAATGTCGAAAAATATTTCCATACATATCAAAATTTGATGATTTTTTTCTAGAGAAGCGGTATTTGAGATTTTTACATATTCGGAATCAGCATGATGATTTTATGAAAGTGAAGATAAATCATTTATCTTCACTTTTCCCATAAAATTTCGTCTTCACAGCTTCTAACTCACATCATGGCTTCTGAGAACAACGTGATTTCACAATGACACTCACAGATGCGGTGCATGTTGTCGAAACCGGCGATGAACCATGGTTATTTCAGCTGAAACCATAGCAGGACAACAGAAAAACTGACGGTTAACTTCACAACTAACTGGAAAAACAGTCGGAACCGTGCGTTTTTCTGGTTAATTGTGAGGTTAACGTCAGTTTTTCCGCTGTGTTGCTATGGTTTCAGTTGAAATGTGTAGTTCACTGCCGGTTCTAAAATAACCGTGGTTCACCGCCGGTTTTCGTCCGGTTTCGACAACATGGGCGCCTAGCTCATTTTAATCATATTAAGCTTAGTCCTCGAAAAATAGTTTGCTGAAAGTCATACCAAAAATCATCAGATATTCTATGCCTGTGCTACAACTTTTTTTGTTCATGTAGACAAAGTCGTTAACCTCTCGCCATTCGTTCCTATAGAGGGCGCCTTAATCCTACTCAATATCGTCGCCTTCATATACGTAGTTGCCTTACTTTTACTATCAATAGAGATTCGTCAATATTTAGCATGTCTGACAAACAGTGGAAAAATATAACGAAGGGATGTAAGGTATATATAGCGTTCAAGATCACGAAGAAATCGTTTTGTAACGAAGCATAAAGAGATAAATAAAAGTTCAGAAGAGAGAAAATCTGATTAGTAGATGCTTAGAAAACGAGAAATTACCTTTCCTACAGATAAATGGGTATATAACTTTCTCTCTACTCGACTCTACATGTGTGTCTTTGTGTACAGGCGAGAGAAGACCTTTTTGTCATGCTGTATCCAGTCTATAATCATTTTTTCTCAAAGTGAGCAACTGTATCAGCTTCACAAAGAGTAGAAAATGCATGAGTGTTTCTCATAGCTGAAATGGCATTATTTCAGACGTGTAGATCGACATCATTCACATATCTTTTCACTTTGTTTACCCTCGGCGGTTCTCAGTGATTAAAACTGCACGGTGGGAGTGCTCTACTGGAGAAATTTAACGATCTGTAATAGCGTTTCGAGATCGTAGTTACCATCGACTAGAATTGCTTCTTGTATCATTTAAATTTTAGATGGATGCATTTCTGCATATAACATTATTAAACGAATGTTATTCGAAAAATATTCAACCCTTGACCGAAAAACATTTAAAACAAATTGAAATAGATGATGAACAGTTAAAAACACTCAAACTTGAATTGGAACAAAAATACGATTTAATCGAAGAAAAAATTCGACAAAAAGTAAACGGTAACACTGTTTTAGATATAGTTGATGAACAAATTGAACAGTTAGAAAAATTACAAGAAAGATATGATCAACTTGTTGAGAAACGTCAGAAAATAGCCACAAAAAATCACCAACAATTAGAAAAATTTATATCGACATATGAGCTAGCTTTAACTGCATTGAAAATGGATATTAGTGATCGTAGCGTGTTAGCAAATTCGATTAACAATGGCGAAGATCAACAATTGAACATCGAGCCATTAAATAATTCAAATCTGTTTCAAAATTCACAATTTAATACTCAACAAATGGATACATTGTTCAAAAGAAGATTGGATAACTATTGGAAAGATGGTAGTTCTATACATTATCGTTAATGATGTTTAAAATTCTGTACAGCTTATTTCTTTTTTTTTCATTTTTGTAAGAGTCGAATAGAAAGTGAAACTTTCTTTTGTTTTGTCTTGTTTTGAATTTCTCTTTATATAACGTAGATTCAGCACTTTTTCCTATAAGTATTGAAACTGCTTGTAAAGTCAATTTTAATTTATTTTATTCTGTGGATATGTTTTAGATTATTTGTTTACGTTAAATGTCATCTGGAACGGTTGTCATTGACCTATTACCTTCGAATATTTCACGTGCTTTTGGCAGTGAAATTACGTATAATGAAAGTCTCGACAGTGTTTTGAAATTTAATCAACGTCTGTTGCGAGAGCGCCGTTTGCGTCTTCGTTTACCATTTATTGATCAACAAACAAAAGTTGTTCAAATTCCAAATGTTAATTTATGGAAACAAGAAAGTGATCGTATCGTACCAGATAGATGTGATCAAATTACATGTTATTCTAGTATCAAATGGAAAAAAAAGAAGAATATAAATGGATTACCAACGTGGATGAATAGCGCGTTGTATGGAAATAATAAAGATCAGTCATTGAATCCGATATCAGGGAGTTCAGATAGTTTAGCAGCATCAGCTCAGCAAC